CTGTTGCACCCTCCCTCAATCTCCATCATCTTCTTCTTCGTCGACTTCAGATCTGAGAGTGGGAGGTCCCATCTTCTTCCTCTGCAGCTTTCTCCCTCTTTAATCTCCATCTCTTTCTCTGTTGACTTCAGATCTAAGAGCAGGAGGGGAGATGTCGTGATTTATAGACTGAGAGGCAGGGGTGGCAGCGTCATATCTGAGAAGCATCGGTGCCATCGTCCTCGTCTCCCTTCCTTTCCCTCACACAGCTTTTGATTTTCTTGCTTCATAGACCTTGCAATATGTCTTTTCTCAATCTCTTTCTTTGCTTTTTTCCCCTTTTGTGTTGTTGGCTGATATTTGTATTTGGATTTGATTTATATATTGCTTGGATTGATAATTGAGTTTGGATTAATTGTCTAATGGTTGATGAACTATCACCAGCAGTGGACGATTTCTTTCCAGTGGAGTCCGATGGTCATGCGCGAGTGGATGGCCATGACTGTGGGAGTGGATTTTTTCCCCCTACTGAGGGTATTTTAGTATTTTTACAATATAAATTATATTTTAATTAAAAATTATATCCCACTTCCATCCTCATACCAAACATGCTTTAGAACCCACTTCTATTTCTAGTTCCACTCCTTCTACTTCTGTTTTCACTTCCACTTCTATCAAAAACTCGTTCATTGTCCCAAATGGGTAGTAGGGTTACTATACTGACCGATATATATATATATATATATATAATATCATTATTTTTCAGTTCTCAATAAATTGTCATTGTTTTATTTTTATTTTTTAATAAAAAGGGGCATGAACATTAAATTTTATCAAATAAATTTAATTAATACATTATCAAATAGACTTTCATATTCTATACTTTGTTGCATATGTATTATTTATGGGTTAATGTGCAAATTTATCCCAATATTTCAAGATCATAACAATATTATTTTCATACCGTTAAAAATGTTAACGATCAATGCTATCATTTTAATAAATAATATTAACTTTTTAATGATAAGGAGCAATATTATTATAATTTCAAATATTCAAAATAAATTTGCACTCAAAATTAATAAAAAATTTCAGGATAAATTTACACTTTCACGGTTAATTATTTTGTGTTGTGCATTTGTATGATATATTCAAAAGGAAGAGAAAAGTCTTCATTTACTGCCACCATATGGGCATAGTTCATTACAAGAAACTCGTGTGTTTGACGGTTTGAGGTAGCATTTAAATTAGACTAATTCAATACCACGCTTGTTGCGATATAAAAATAAATTTATTAGTTCGTCATTGAAAAACATAGTTTATTTCCATTCGATGTTGGTTATCTCATTTTCTTTCTCATATTATAATAATATATAAATTATTAGATTTGAAGAGATTTTAAAAAAAAGTTGAAAAAGCATTATGTGCCCCACTTCACCAAACCTTATTCTTATTAGTCTTCTCATAAGCGTATCATACGTTTTTGTCGGTCCAAAATTCTTCTGTAACAGCTGGACAAAAAAATGACAACACTATCATACTTTTGACTTTGACTCAAACAAACAATCGCGTCAATTCAAACGAGTAAAGAAGATAATTTAATATTTTTCATTTGTTAACAATTTACTTGGTATAGCTTTCTTCGATTCATTTTCGTTTCAATCACGTCACAAAAGACAAGTCTTCTGTACTTCTACCCTGTTTGGCACGCTTATAAAAAAATAATCCGTCATTAAAAACTTTTTGGAAAAAATACACTAAAATCTCATTTAAGAGAATTAAATATAAAAAAATCTCTTAACATTATTAAATTAATATGAAATTTCAAGAAAACTTATTGCAAGAAATTCTACTTGTTTAAATCTTTTTTTTAAGTATGCATTAATAACTAAAAAAAACAGTGGTTAACAATTTAAGACATAACGATTAACAACTATTACAATAAATATTAATAATACATTTTCTCAGTACATCACAAAGATTTAATACATGAATTGTTAATACATACTGAAATAGTTATTAATAATTGCACCTTAAATTGTTGATGACTTATACTTAAAAAATAAAATGAGGACAATTTAATAACTAAACAAGTAGAATCTCATGCAGTAAGATATTTTCAGAGTTCAAATTAATTTAATGATTTCAAAAAAAAATTTGTATTTAATTCTCTTGAGTGACAACCTTGATCCAATGTTCACAAATTTTTTGGGCATATATTTATGATTGATACTCATATAATCATTATTGCCTATTTTTCATTGTTTGAAATGCCTTTTTTCTAAATAGGGGCATAAACACTAAATTTTATCAAGTAAAATTATTGTTTTTAATTTTCACTTTTCATCTCTAATATCAGACATGTGTTATACTATTTCTCTGTGTGTGTTGTATTATTATCTATTATTTTGTATTGCGTATTATAACGTGTTTGACGGTTTGAGTAATTAGAACCACTGAAAACCAAAATTTTTTTGGGGGGGGATTAACGGCAGCTGGACAATGAAGGATCACTTTGAATATTGTCACTTCCAGACCTTTTAGCTCGCCATTCAAATAATAGCCAAAAGAATTTGTTGATAGTATGGTAATCTCTTTATGTCTCTACCATACTCCTAATATTCAAATAATGTTCAAATTGAGTTACTTTTTCTAAAGAGTATGTTATAAAAGATCTCTCATATTTGACTTTAAGTTCTTAATTGAAATTTTTGTTTATTTGGCATAAAATAAAATTATCAAATGGATCTGCCTCACAAAATTCCATATTTCTTGACCATATTAGTGTTATATTAGATTATATATGAACACTAATTTTCATAAATTTTCAGAAAAAGTTGAATCAACATTCCATCAGGCATAAATGTGGCCATGTACGTGTTCTTTACGCCTTTTATTGTTCTTTTGATTCATTTTCATTTCATCAATCAATCACAAAGTCAAGTCTTCTCTCCCGTTTGTTACGCTAATGGAAAAACAATCCTATAATTGAAAACTTTTGTAGGGCATTGATTATACTGATATAACCATTATTCCTGCATTCTTATTGTTTCAAATGTTTTATAATAAAAATGAAGGCATAAAAATTCAATTTTATCAAATAAAATGATTTTTCCCCTTTCATCTCTAATTTAGTCGAGAACTCTTATGAACGGTTTCATGCATAGCTTATATATTTGTATGATTTTATTCAAAGGGAGGAGAAAAGTCTTACTTTCTCTATCACCATATGGATATAATAATTATTCCCTCTTTTTCATTGTTTTAAATGATTTTTTTCCAAATAGGCGTATAAGCATTAAATTTTATCAAACAAAATTATTTTTTCATTTTCCCTTTTAATTTATAATATCAAACTTATGGTATACTATTTCTGTGTGTGTATATACTCAAAATCAAAATTTTGGGACAAAAATGAATTAATGGCACCTGGATAATGAAGGACCATTTTGAAATTTCTCACTTCCAAACCTTTTAGCACGCCATTCAAATAAAACTGAAAAAAATCTGACAAAAAAATAATGCCAATTTTTTTTGGATAATATGGTAATCTCTTATATTTCTCCCACCCTCTTTGTATTCAAATACTACCTCTGATCCTTAATATAATATTTAATTAATTTGTTTGAGCAGATCAAGAAAGTTAATCAATTACCTTAATATATTTATGTTTATCTTGTTACTTTTATAAATTAATATATAATATAATGATATACATAAGTATTTTAGAGAAATTATATAACATGTAATTATGTAACTGGGTCTTATGTTAAGAATCAGGATAGTAATTTTGAAATTTAATTGCTTTTTCAAAAGAGTATGTTATAAGGTCTCTCATATTTCACTTTGTTCAAGTTCTTAATTGAAACTGTTTTTTATTTTAGCATAAAATATAATTATCAAATTGAAAATTGACAGACCTCACAACATTCCGTATTTCTTGACTATATTAGTAATTATTAAATTACATATGAACACTAATTTTCAAAACGCTTCACCACAAATTTTTGGAAAAGTTTAATCAATGTTCGTTCAGTCAAGCACGTTCGACGTGTTGCCAGGACCATTTGTCTAGTCAAGTGAATATTTGAATTAATTTATTTTAAGTGATTTTATATTTTCAAAATAAGTATACGAGAGGAATATTCTGTTGTAAAATGTAAAATAGATTTTTTTTGTATATTCTCTTAATAAGTCTTTCTTTTTTTTTCCTCCAAGGAAACAACTTTTTTTTTTGGTAGCCTCTACCCCTCTTTCGATATATATGATATAATGAACTTATTTTTATTTTCCTTAATTATAGAAATTTCTATTCCATTTAAAAGATATACGTAATACGTAAGCCTTCTGCAAAATAAAATTGGGTAGCACAATTTTTTCTTTTATTTTTAATATTTCATTTTCAACGACCATGACAATACTATTAATTACTACTCATTAAATAAAATTAGTTTAATTATTTTTTGCAAAAGTAATTTTTTTAATAACTTGCTAGTATACAGGCCCTTACCTTGCGAATATTATTCTATATTAAAGCTATAATACAAAGAAATATTATATTATGAGTAAGGGCTACAGTGATGTTATGAGCAAATCTGTTTGTCATGACCAACATGTCAGTGAATGTATTACGCGTTAAATAATAGAAATAAAAGACTTCACTTATAATTCTGTTATGGTAGGAAAAAAAGGCTTATAATTCTATTTACAATTAGGAATTATAAGAATTAAATACACAGTGTACTAAAATTAATTTGTGTTTACAAGCCCAAAGTTTATATACTGAAACCAACCAGTTTTTAATGGTGAGAATATTTCATGTTAGTTTTTTTCAATCAATTCTGATTATATTTTAGTTCCCATCAAATTCTTCAATCCAAGTTGGAAGAAGAAAGTGACTTGAGCCAGCAATTACTATGACAAACCTTTTATCATGCGTAGCTCTGCCTATAAAAGAAGCCTCATATGTTAGATACCATATCCTTCACTCCTTGATATTCACAGCCTTCTAACTTCGCTACATGGCGTTTCGAATCACCATCTGTTTCTGCTTGTTCCTTCTTTCTCCTTCCCTTTCTTCTCTCAACCCCCCATTATGTAATTCTCATGATTCCATTGCGCTTTTTCATTTTAAAAACTCTCTCTCTCTTGATCATTCTGCTTCAATGGAGTGTGATGAGTTTCATGGTGATGATAATAGTTATACTATACAGTTTAAGAACTCATCTTACCCAAAGACAGCTTCGTGGGGAAATGATTCAAACTGTTGCTTGTGGGATGGGATCACGTGTGACTCCATGTCTGGTCATGTGATTGGCCTTGATCTTACTTGTAGTTGGATCCAAGGTCAACTCCATCCAAACAATAGCCTCTTCCAACTTTCTCATCTCCAAACACTCAACTTAGCTCACAACAATTTTAGTGGGTCTTTGATATCATCTCATTTTGGTGGTCTTTCCACTCTGATGCATCTAAACTTAAGCTATTCTACTTTTGCTGGTGAAATTTCTCCTAAAATTGCAGAATTGTTTAAGTTGGTCTCTCTTGATTTGTCTATGAATGGATTTGAAGGGTTGAGTTTAAGACTTGAACCATCCACTTGGGAGAAGCTTGCTCTAAACATGACTGATATGAGAGAACTTGTTTTAGATGATGTAAATATGTCTTCCATTGCACCAAGCTCCTTGTCTTTGAAGTCGCTTAATATTTTGAGTCTTAAACGTTGCAAATTTGACGGGCCTATTCCTACAAGTTTTGGAAACCTCACTCAATTAACTGATTTGAACCTTGCAGAAAACAATTTTAGTGGTGAGCTTTCATTTCTTTCAAATCTTCAAAGTCTCACTTCATTGGACCTCAGTGGCAATTATTTTAATGGTCTCTTACCAAATTCCATAGGCCATTTGAAGTCTCTTGATTTTTTGGGTCTTCAAGAGAACCAATTTCATGGGCCTATTCCTACAAGTTTTGGGAACCTCACTCAATTAACTGATTTGAACCTTGCAGAAAACACTTTTAGTGGTGAGCTTTCATTTCTTTCAAATCTTCAAAGTCTCACTTCATTGGACCTCAGTGGCAATTATTTTAATGGTCTCTTACCAAATTCCATAGGCCATTTGAAGTCTCTTGATTTTTTGGGTCTTCAAGAGAACCAATTTCATGGGCCTATTCCTACAAGTTTTGGTAACCTCACTCAATTAACTGATTTGAACCTTGCAGAAAACAATTTTAGTGGTGAGCTTTCATTTCTTTCAAATCTTCAAAGTCTCACTTCATTGGACCTCAGTGGCAATTATTTTAATGGTCTCTTACCAAATTCCACAGGCCATTTGAAGTCTCTTGATTTTTTGGGTCTTCAAGAGAACCAATTTCATGGGCCTATTCCTACAAGTTTTGGGAACCTCACTCAATTAACTGATTTGAACCTTGCAGAAAACACTTTTAGTGGTGAGCTTTCATTTCTTTCAAATCTTCAAAGTCTCACTTCATTGGACCTCAATGGCAATTATTTTAATGGTCTCTTACCAAATTCCATAGGCCATTTGAAGTCTCTTGATTTTTTGGGTCTTCGGGGTAACCAATTTTATGGGCCTATTCCTACAAGTTTTGGAAACCTCACTCAATTAACTGATTTGAACCTTGCAGAAAACAATTTTAGTGGTGAGCTTTCATTTCTTCCAAATATGTCAAGTCTTACTTCATTGGACCTCAGTCAAAATTATTTTAGTGGCTTGTTGCTAGATGTGTTCGGAAACCTTTCAAATTTGGAATTTCTTCATTTCTCTGACAACAAGCTACAAGGTAATTTTCCCGTGTCAATTTTCACCCTCATAAATCTTTCTCTTTTGAGTCTATCATCAAATAACTTGAGTGGCTCTGTTAATTTTTACCAATTTTCCAAGCTTCAAAATCTAGAATATCTTGATCTTTCAAGCAACAAGTTTCTCTCACTTATCTCTGATAATAATCTTAACTACACCATTCCTAATCTTGAGTTCTTACATTTAGATTCTTGTCATATCATTATCCTTCCGAAATTCATTGGCCTTCCAAATTTGTTGCAATTGCATCTTGATGGTAATAAGTTGCAAGGTCTTCCTGAGTCAATTTTTGGTTTCCTAAATCTTTCCCATCTAAGTCTGTCATCAAATAATTTGAGAGGCCCTATTAGTCTTCATCAATTCTCAAAGCTTCAAAATCTAGAACATCTTGATCTTTCAAACAACAAGTTTCTCTCACTTAGCTCTAATAATGATGTTCACCATACCATTCCCAATCTTACACTGTTAGATCTGTCCTCTTGCAACATCAATGACTTTCCTAAACAATTAGGAAGCCTTCAAAATTTGAAGTGGTTATATCTTTCCAATAACAAAATTCATGGAGATATTCCCCAATGGTTCAATAACGTAGGGAATGGTTCTTTGGATGCTTTGGATCTCTCTCATAATAACTTGACATCAGCTAAACATCTTTCAATGAGAAACTTGAGGTTTCTTGATCTCAGCTTCAACTTGTTGCCAGGAAATCTCCCAATTCCATCCTTTGATGTTGAATTCTTTTCAGTGTCCAACAACAAATTCAATGGACACATTTCTTCCTCATTTTGCAATGCAAGCTCACTTGAGATACTCATCTTATCCCACAACAACTTGTCGGGCCACATCCCAAAGTGCCTTTTTGCTCTCCCAAATCTTGAGAGTTTAGATCTGCATATGAATAATTTTGTCGGATCTATACCAAACAATTTTTCTAGGAGCAATTATTTGGAATCTTTGCATTTGAACAACAATCAATTTGACGGACGGTTGCCTTTGTCTTTGACCCATTGCAAGCAATTACAAATTTTAGATGTGGGAGCAAACAAGATCAATGACAAATTTCCCGATTGGCTTGAAGGCTTACCGGAGCTACAGGTACTCATTTTAAGAGATAATAAGTTCTACGGTGCCATTCATAGTTCCAACACCAAACATCCTTTTCTCATGTTAAGAATTTTCGATGTTTCCAACAACCGTTTTACAGGATCTTTGCCAATAACATACATCAAGGAATTTAAAGGAATGATGAATGTTGACTTTGTTTCAACCACACTAGATTACTTGGAAATCCGTAATGTACCTTATCAGTATCAAGAATCAGTGATGGTCACATTGAAAGGTGTTGATTTGGAGTTGGTAAAGATCATAACTACATTCACATCCATTGATTTGTCAAAAAACATGTTTGATGGAGAGATTCCACATGTTATTGGTGAGCTGCATTTACTCAAAGGGCTTAATCTCTCCCACAACAAAATCACTGGTCCGATTCCTCAATCCATTGCAAACTTGACAAACCTAGAATCGTTGGATTTATCATCAAACTTGCTTAAAGGTGAGATTCCTCTTGCACTAGCAGATCTCAACTTTCTCGAAGTTTTGAATCTTTCACAAAATCAGCTTGTCGGAGAAATACCAACAGGTAAGCAGTTTGATACATTTTCACAAGATTCTTTTGAGGGAAATTTAGGACTGTGTGGATTTCAATTGTCAAAAGCATGTAACCATGATGAAGGAAAATTACCACAACCAACTTCGTCAAGTAATGACAAATTTGGATTTGGTTGGAAACCAGTGGCTTTGGGATATGGATGTGGGATGGTGTTTGGAATATTCATGGGTCAAGTTATTTTCTTAACTGGAAAACCTAAAGAGCTTGTCAGAATTTTTCAAGCCAGGCCTAAGAAACAAGCAAAAAGGACAAGGAAAAGAGCCCATCAGAATCAAAGAGTGAATTAGGCACAAAATGTGGCTTCGTGTGATATATTGCGTCATCTTTTTTTCCATGTTTCCACTATGGTTATTATTTCATGTTTCTTAAATATCTTGTCAGTGATTGGAATGTAATGTACTGTATATTTTAATGCAAGTTATTGTCTTTCCCTTTTTTTTAAAAAATGAATTTCAAGTGATTTGCCTTCATTTGTATGCTATGTACTATTTGATCATCGTGTGAATAAAATTTTCCACGTATTAGCAACTTTTTTTCTTTCTGGTACAGACATGTCATCAACTTATGTTATTTGAATTAATTATCAACCATTCAACCTTTCTCATTTAATTAATGATTTAAAGAAACTTTTAGTTTGTTCGTTGTTCTATTAAAGGATTTTAGGTTTTTATAAATATGTGAAAATCACTTTCTACTTCCAGACTTTATGATCGATATATGATTGTTCAGAATAATGCTGCAAGCAGGAATTTAAAATAAGCAAAATGATTTTATTTCAAATTTTAAACTCTCAACAATTTTTTCTTGTTTTTGCCAAACTCTTAAAACTGAAAATATGACCATGCAAAACACGAGCCTCAATTGCTTTATTACTTAACGTTAACATTCAACTAGGCTTGTCCTCTCATGAAAACCTTGGGCCTAAAAGCATTTTAGCCCATTAACAACATCGTGACCCCTTTTTTCGTAAGTTCATAAATTCTTCTGTTCGTTTTTTTACCCCTTATTCGCATTGAGAGAAAATTAGATTAAAAAAATATGGAGAGAAATCAGTTTTTTTTCTTACTTGGATATGAGAGAAAATATGAGAGGAAGGAACCCCTTGCTTGGATTAAAATAAAATTAGGGAGGAAAGAAAACTAGAGGGGAAAATATAAGGAGAAATGAGTTTTCTAAATATCAATGTAATGAATTATTTCAGAATCGATCCTAATTCAATTGATCCTCATCCTAACAAAATTCATTTAATTGATACATGTATCCACCAATTCATCACAGGCACAAGATTTTAGGATTAGATAGGAGAGAAAATATGGGAGGAAGAAAAAGTGAGAAAAAAAAAAGATAGACTCCATATCTCATTTTCTCTCCAAATATGGAGAGACTCAGGAAGAAAAACAAGATTTTCTTGATTGTCCCTCCTCTCTCTTTCTCTCACATTTATGTTCTTTTTATTATATTTAAAAAATTATTCATTTTTTTATTTTTTAATCTTACAAGAATATTTTTTATTAAATAATTTGCTTTTAAAATATAATACTATGAAAATATATATAAACCAAATAATTTGATTTGAAATTATTTGACGACGCTAACGTTAGTATAATATTCCTATTGCAATATTTAATTTGATTTAATTTTAAATATGATATATTTTGATAAGGGTATTTTAGTTATTTAGGTATTTATTCATTTTCTTTCCCCCTATTTTTCTCTCATCTATCCAAGCAAGATGATAATAACATCTTCTCTCTAGTTTT